AATTTCCATCAAGACTGCAATCTTCCTGCTCTTTAACAATGAGGGCTTGCATGCCCTTTTTCGTAAGGCGTAATCAGGCTTTATCCTTCGTAATCTGTAGGCAGCCTCCCCAAAAATCAACGTAATTCATACAGTACATTAGCCGCAAAGTGTAAAGTTGTAATGAGCTCTGAAAACTTAAGGTAATTCATGGCAAAAATTTGCGTAATTCATAATTATGCAGGCCCTCAACAATGACTGAGAATTTGCTACAGTACACTAGGGGCTACATGTACAGGCAAATGCAAGAAGTAGGCAGGCAGGCCCTGTCTGTCCTTAGCCTGTCATAGCTGTTTGTTGTGAAGACCAGACAGACAAATGTTCTGCCAGTATCTAATCAGTAAACATTAACTAAAAGGACATTTCCTGGTGCTGATAAGATACTACATGTTAGACTCTTCTGTCATCTAAATCCCTGGCATGCTAGCCTCTTACACACGCCAGGTCTTTAGCCAACTGGTAGACAGGACTGATCACCAGATAACACAAACTAACAAGCCAACCAATGCTGATGATATGCATGACATGTATATATATGTGCAACTTCCTGAGAAAAGGTTTCAATGCTTCAAAAGTTACTTTGGTAAAATATTACTCGCTTCCTGAAGTTGATGAGTTATTTTGCTCGTATCAGCTGTAAATTTTACACAGATAAGAGGCTAAAATAGATTAGGTCGTTAACAACAATCATCCTAGTCTGTTTATTTGTTTATTAAAATTCATCACAACAGTGAAAGGGACGGGGGAACAGGTGTAACACCTTTACCAGCCCTCGTCCCGATACAGCATACAAATACAATAGACTCAAGTATAAAATAATGAGTGATTTACATATACATATACATAATGAAAAAGCTTAATATATACAGACTACCGAACCCTCAAGTCAAAGTGTTCCTCAATTGTATTACTGGACAAATCTATGAAAAATTTTCTCCTTTTCAACAGAGCAATAGATAGCTCAAGACTTCATCATATCAATCAGTCAAAGCTTAGCACTTCTTTTTAAACTACAGACATTGTAAAACAATTTTCTGCATCTTACCTACAATGTTGTAGATCTGATTCCAGATGGAAGAAATCCTTGCAGACAGACTCACTGCCTCTTCTCAGTTTGCAGAGACTCAGTTATAAGCCACAGCATTTGAACCAACACCACAGTAACAGTGATAGATACCCATGAACACCTTCCACATTGCCAGGGATGTGATTAAAATGTTTGAGCTAACGTCCCACTTGTGGCAACATCTCAATGGGTACCAGGTTGCAAAGCCAAACTCAATGGCATTGTCATCAAACTCTATAATTTATCACAATGTTAGAGTATTTGACCATTATCATGCCAACCAAAGACATATATGAACAATAGTTCTGTCACGCTGTAACCAAAATGTAACTGAAAATCATATCAAGGCTAAGCTTAGTGTTAACTGTCATTTGCATACCAGTTCAGAAGTTCATGATCGTGAAAGCAGACGTGACCTCCGAGGTCTCACACCTTGGGGAAATCATCAAAGCTTTAATTTGTCTCTCACTGACAGAGAAATAGACTCAGGTCCTTCTGGTGTTCATAACTTTGACTTTCATCTAGATCCTGCTTTTGAAATATAGGATATGCTTGCCCGATGATGGTGCAAATTTCCCAGTTGGCAACATACATTGACATATCTCAAACTGAAACTGTGAGGGGTACAGGGAAAGTTTGTAGAAAACTGTAACGACAGCAGGTAAATGGGGCATGTTTTGTCTGCCATACAAAATGTCAGTTTCATAAACTTTAAGATAAGATAAACTGATTTGAGCTGTCAGTGATTGAAAATGCTTTATTTCATGAATGTTAAGATAAACTGCATGCCCAGTATCGTCCTTGACTACAGCTTAAAGAAGAAGCTGTATCTAGGAGACATATCTGGACCGTCGTAAACTGTGGAGCCTGGCTGTCAACAGACAGTTAAAAGGCCAGACGGGCGTGCTTTGCCTCTGCAGTGGTAATGGGGACTACAGGTTAACATGTGGGTCATCGGGAGATTCACCATGTGCTGCAGAAAGAGCTCTTATCATCAAGATGCACTCTTCCTTTTCTAAAAGGGAAAGCATCAAAGATTGTATATTCAATCCACTACACACAAAGTGTAAAATTAAACCCTATAAGAACTAGCAAGTTGAAAAGAATAGTATAAAACCCAGCAAAGAGACTTATTGCGCCATAAGTATAGCCTCTACCAGGCTCCACGGATCGCTGGAAAAATAGTAGAAATTGGCCAAAATAAAGGGATAGTATACATGTACCAGAGAAGATCCAGGGCCATAGAAGCTCCAATTTGCTCCGTGGGTCGCAAATTGGAGCTTCTATGGCCCTAGATCTTCTCTGGTATACTATTCCTTTATTTCGGCCAATTTCTACTATTTTTCCAGCGATCCACGGAGCCTGGTAGAGGCTACCATAAGTATACGAGAGGTCAACGTTACAGGCTGTCGTATGCAATAACCAACAACAGTTTGTCTTCAAGTTTACAATTGATAAGAAGATGTAGATGAACTCTTTTATGCTGATGTACAGTAGATACACTTGTCGTTACCTTTCTCACCAATACGATGCGTAGGCAGCAAAGCTGGCACAAAATGTTGGATGTAACGTTAGTGGGTGGCCTAGCCTTATATCATCTGCCAGCCATCATGGCCAAGCTTTAGGCATTTGTAAGCTGTTAACCTTGGTAGATTTTTATAGGGTTGAGATGAAAAGCGAGTTCTGTCTCTCCCTCTGGGTCCACTGTTTGCTTGTACTTGTGATGTTCCCTTTCTGGGTAAACCTTAACCACATTCCTCTTAAAACCGGGTAAAGTGGCTGTCTCGTGGATGGTGTAATTGCTTCTGAGTTCATTCCAAGATTGCTCAAATGCCGCACCTCAGTATTTAACTTCGACAGTGTTCTGCTGTATCCCAGTTACACTTCAATGCATGGAAAGACGGGGAATGGTTTTCACAATTCACCTGTGCATCTGAACACTCACACACATGCACAACACACGCACACACAGATACACACACACACACACACACACACACACACACACACACACACACACACACACACACACACACACACACACAACACACACATATACACCACACACACACACACGCACAAACACACATAGAAATCTAACAAGTACTGTTCATCAGTGGATGGCAAGAAAACTTACAACGAGCTACAACATTGCTGGCAAAATAAATACCTTAGGAAATGATGAAGCATATATACTTACATGTTCTCCATTAGTTGGATGTTACTAGTAGTTGAAACCGTTAAGAAATGGAGCTCACCTGTGTAGTCTGCATTCAGTATCTGCCTGTCACCTTTCCTAAGACAGCCTCATCCAAAAAGAAATGTTACACCTACATGTAGTAGTTACCATTCACACAGGTGAGTTCAGTAGCACCACCAGACATTTTCTGACCCGTGTAAAGGTTTCTGTTCCCTACTGTTTGGTCAGATGGTTGCCACAGTGCCTAACGATGTTTACCCTGATGTCAGAGGCCATGGTCATGAACTTGGGTGGATCAGGACAGTGCAAACTTTTAACTCTAACCGAGATGTTGATGGAAGGTCCACACATCCATGGTATATACCTGGGGAAGGACCATTGTACAGTATAGAGGATGGATAGACTTGTATACTGCTAAACTGCTCATCTTGAATTAGTAGATTACAATACTTGTTTTGAGCATGACGAGGATGGAAGTTAGCAAAGGATGGCAGCCTTTTTAGCTTTTACTTTAACTTTTTCTGTATCTTTCTTTTATCTGTATCTGTAAACTATCTGTTGTGACCATGTTTCAGCCAGCATGTCTCTCCCTCACAGCATTTTGCCTTCCATGACAGGCAGAAAAAAATTGCAGGGTAGCTAGAACACTGGTTGTGACCTGTACTTAACGGACTGGGCATACATTTAAAATAAAGGTCTTCATTTCATTCAATATCTGATTTCTTGGCCCTGTTTCCAAAGTAATGACTGGATTCGACCCAAGAGACAGTCCAACCTGTCACCTCGCATGATCTAATAAACCTACTTGGACCACAATATTGACTCCTCTAAAACACCCCTGTTGATGTTACCTCTGTTCCCTGGGAACATGGCTTGACTGCCAAAATAAACAGTCTGTGACTTTTGCCACTTACCCGATGAAAGTTATCATCGGCATTCCTTAACAGGAATTGTGTTAAGAAGGCCTGGGTGCCATCCTCCGTAGTATTCGCCTGCTCCCTTAAATGTTGCTAGCTACCACGGGCACTATGGAATACTATGGAGGATGGCACCCAGACTACTTGTACTACACATTTTGCTTGATTTTTAAAGGACTCGTGAAAGAAAGGAAAATTATCTCCTAGAATCATAAGATTTATTTTGCTTTTCAGTTGTTGTTGTTATAAAAAAATTGACATAAAACCATCAGATTCTGTTTTGATGTTTGTTTGCTTCTTGCCAGACAAGAGATGGCATCACATCATCTTTTCCTGTAATAAGTTCTCTTGAAAACGTTTTTTAACAATCAATAAAATCAAGTCAGTCAATCAGTCATTATTGCAAATTATTGCAAGCTGTGCAACCGCTATCTACAGAAATTGTGCTCCAGGCAAAGTACATTTATAGACCATAGAAGAAATTCTAGCAAAGTCTTTTGCAGTAAGTGTTAACGTTACTCTCGTATTTCGATTCAGCTCATATAAGACTCTGCTTAGCACTCAGCATCCATGAGAAAGAGTATGGGAAGGTCAAACATACAACACTACCAGCGGGCTAGCTCCCTGCTGTAGTGCTTGCACGACTGTGTGGCCCAAGGGCTACTGTACAGAAATGGAGATGGGCACCACCCCTATGCTCCACAAGGAGTGGAAAGGCACCTTCCTCTTCTTCATATAAGACACTTTTGTTTAAAGTTTGTTTGTTGTACACCTGCAGATGACTACATCCTGGTATTTTCACCTGGCCACCTGCTACACTTGCTGAATGTTGCAGCTGAGTTTGAACCCTGCCACCACATCGTCTGGCATGGTAAGTCCCAGTGTAGGTAATAGGTAATTTTGTATTAGGTAATAGATGAATAGGACGAATGATGATTATGATTTAGGTTAATAAATTTAAAGTAAATATAAGCATTGGGGGTTATTGTTAAAAGCTCCGTCTAAAACTTCTGTTCCCTGGTTTTACGTTTTTTGTAGCACAATGTGTCTGTTATAATATGCCATGACTTTTTTTGTTTTTGTTCTTTTATTTGAAAAACACAATAAATAAAGGTTTAAAAAATTCACGGTGTTAATCTTACCGTCATGTCACCGGCATGACTTCTTTTTTTTATGTCCTTATCTCCTCACACAAAGAAGTCTACAAAACACAAGATGTAGTAACTGTTACAATGCAGTGATACATAATAGAACCAGCTGCTACATGTTATGTAATGCAAAAGAGACTGATGAGAATGAATATTAGTGTAAACAGTTATAACAAAATGCCAGAGTGATTAGTGAGACTCCATTATTGTTTTGTTGATTGCAACACAACAATATAACACAACACAACATACTAGTACATTGTACATTTGTAGCAGACTCACCTTGTATATGAAGTCTGATCGTGATTTCTTTATCCAGTCGTGAGTACTGCTCCTAATGTTAAAGGAGGGAAGATGAATGAAATGTCTGCTCTCCTGACCATGACTAACGTGAACTCTGAGCCCTGATTATGTTCCTTTCATGTCACTTTTGTTGCACTTGTCCCCTACTGTACTCTCTCCTCACCACACAGACTATTGTTCAGTACAAGTTCTACATGCTTTGAAAACAGTTGCAGTCAAAACCAGTGGTAGAAACCTATAAACTTGATGTAGAATATTAACTGCACCAACTGTTTGGATTTTGAATGTTTGCTACACTTACCTAATGTTGTTTGCTCTGTCTGACAAATGTTGTGAGCCTTTAAATGTAGTTCAAGAACTCGTTTACAATCTTTTTGGCCTCATGAGGTCAAATTTGTCTGAACATTTTTTGACCTGTTGAGGTCATATTCAGCTGTTTTGTTCCTATACAGTAGTTCGTATCAACTAGGAGGAAATCTGTGTATTATCTAAAACTACTGGATTTCTTGATTTCTTCTCTTTTTTTGTCCAATATGTTAGGACAAGATTTTTTTGCACTCTTTTGCAAATTCTGACTCCTTTGTCTTTGTTTTCTTTTTACATTAATAGAGGGCCATGCTGGTGGTTGGTCATTTAATTTTTTTCTTTCTTAACTTCTTTAATTTCATTGTACGTGATTGATACCTCTTAAGTTTTGAAAACTTTCTCTTTTAATCTATTTCAGTCTCTCCTTACTAATTGGTAAAAAATACCTGTAAAGGTTAATCATTTGTATGTGACATTCATTCAGAAATCCTGCTTCCCCCCACAGGCCAAGGTGTACCAGACCTTCCCTCTGCTTCAACAGATGGACCCTCCCTAACCACCTTCTTAAGGGAGCGAACAGGTATGCAGAATCCAAAAATAATTTCATCAGATTGGTAAAGTATAGGATACAAGAGTTTTCTTTTACACAACCAATATTGTCTCACCCAAGTGCTTACGTTTTGGTGTCTATCTGACACCTTCCTCAGAGCTTCTGACTGGAGTTCTGCTTCTCGCTGCGATATGTAGCTGATCATGATGTAGGTGGCAGGGAGAACACAAACGTTTGTGGGATCTGGTTTGTGTAAAAGAAAACTCCTGTATTCCAGGTATGTACAATGTACATACAGTCAAACCTGTATAAGTGACCACTCCAATTAGCTACAGTCAAACCTGCTCAAGTCACCATCTGTACTTTAAGGACCACCTAGCTATTGTGACCGCTTTTTGGAGGTCTATTAATAATAATGATAACTATCTAATAATTTTTCCCATTGACACAATCATTAAGAGTCCTGTCTATAGTGACCACCTGTCCACATAAACCAGATTTTATCGTTCCCTTGTACATATGTGGCCATCTTGGTCAGTTTTGACTGTATGTACATATTTAATGGACCATTAAGGTGTGTAAGTATGGATATCTTTCACCTTGGGTAAATGGGTGTATCCACGCATGCTTCCAGTGTTTGTACACAGTGTTTAACATTCAGTAGAGACCGGCATATCTTTCCATGGTCTGACGGTTGAAACACTCAAGAGAAACGTTAGATGTATTGTCTGCTTAGCTCAAGACGAAGTGACTCCTTAAGTAACTGTTGCGTGCGTGGAGAATGGATTAGTTTAAGGACCACGTCTGGATAGTGCCCTTGATTAGTCAGACCAAGGTCACAGTCCTTCTGAATGCAGTTCTCGGTTTTGGTACAATGAAACAATTTCTGTTTTTCTATTTTTTGTGAAGTATGGAATTAGGTTCAAGAAAGCCATTGTTATAAACATTCAAGTGCTAGTTACATTGTTGTTGTTAGTAATTTAACACAACTCTCAAGTAAAACGACTGTGCCCCTTTTTCTTACACGGATGTTTTAAAAGCAAAGGATATAACATAATCACTCGATTGTAACACTATATCTTAGACAGACTTGTGCTAGCCCTTGTTGTTTGAGTAATTAGGAATACGATTTATTAGGTTTTATTCTATACTATTTTGTACTTTTGCCATACATTGTACCATGTGCAATTGTCGTGCAATAAAGTTCTTCTTTATCACCTCTGTTGTTACCCCAGGTCTGTGTGTGTATGACTGTGGGCAGGACGTAGCGTACCGAGTGTCGGTGAGTAAGGACGGGCTGGCGGACGTGTTTGCAGAATGTTACCTGCCCAGCACCAGACTGGCCATCATGCACTATGCCGCGGTGCACCACAAGGACTCATCACTATCCAAACTGGTAGGACGTTAAGTTAGTTAAAGTTAAAGTCCTTCCCGCCCCATGTGGTGCATAGGGTGGCGACCATCTCCAGTTCAGTGGCCCTTGGGCCACACAATTGTGCAATCACTGCAGCAGGGGGCTTGTCTACTGGTAGTGGTATGTCACCAGTTTTTCTGTCAATTGCAGGAACTTTGTGGCATGAGACAGAATTGTTTTCAACCAATCCATCAATCTTGGTGGGACAAAATTGACAAAAATCTTGGGTAAAAATATAAAAATTCAAACCCACGATTTGCCTCTAAAAATGTGGGAAATTGCATTTTAAAGGCTTCAAAATCCAAAACTTCCAGACACCTCTAGATAGAAAGCACTCTCCTCCCAGGTCCAATCATGAACCTGGGAGGAGGTGGCTAGAGGACTGGTGTAGACTGACTTTGTAATGTCATACTTCAGCTGGTGAGTAAGATGTGCAACGACATCGGGAGTCCGGAAGTCTCAGGCCTTCTGACAGAGTTCCTGGTGGGAACGACGTACAACGCCATGCGGAGACAGCTGGACATGCGCATCCTCCCCCTGCTGCAGTTCACATCCACAGAGACAGGGCGGGGACAGCTGGAGAAGGTACGCTCTAACCAAGGAGCTTAAAAATGTGATTTTTTAAGGTCCTTGCTCTAATAAACACCTTAACATTCAGTCGACTTACATGTGCATGTACATAGCTGTTTGTGGCCAAATTGTTATTGGCTATGGTGTAGGCAGCAGGGACTCTAACAAACCCCTTAGTTCAAAAGTCAAAGTCCTTCCTCCACCAGATCTAATTCACAACATACCGGATTATTACAGTAATTTTGATGCTGTTATAAGCAGTCAAGTAACGTTAACTGTTGATCTAACTAAAACATATTTCTGTTTCATCCAGAATGAGAAAGGACAGCAGTTGGCCAGAATTACCTACAACAGTATGAGGGACTTTGTTCAGATGAAGGTAATGTTTTTTATAGTGATATCAACATGCAAATAGATGATATTTTAGTATACACATACAGTACATGAATAATGTGCCTGACAATGTTTTGTTTTCATGATAGTACTCTAAAGTAGACAAGCCCCAGTCAGATGGGAACTTCTGGGAACACCTGAGGTACAACCTGCAGAAACAGAGCATCGCTGACATGTGGCCGAGGTTCAACACTGCCTCACTCCAGCAACACATCACAGCAGCCAACCTGGAGGCTGCACTCGCTGAGGTAAGGACTGTGCCCTCACCAGTTCTACGTAGGCATGGTATTGGAAGGCATCTGTATCTGTATTGGTATAGCCAGTATAACTGCCCTTCGGCGTAACACACCAGCTTGGGCCACACAAGGTGAAGCCCATCCCTCTCCTTCCACAACCTATTACCTCCCCGACCGAAGTCAGGTACCCATTTTACACCTGGTTGGAGTGAGGAAAGTCGTATAGGCAAAATGTCTTGTCAGGAATGCCAGGGATTGGACCTGTGACCTCTCAATCTCATGTCTAGCTTATCTACAGGTAGTCACTCACTACATACCTGTTCTACACTACCAAAAACAAATGCCCTGTTGTCTTTCCTGCTTGCGTCCACATACATTGTATATTTGCCATTGGTGCAACATGCAATAGTAATGGGGAATTCAAATCCACAATAACATCACACCTTTTCTACATTTGTATTTTCTTAAGATCTGATAAGATTTTACCATTTTACCCTTTATCCAAAAGTTAAATCGTTTGTATGTCACCCTGTGTAGTTCAATTTTAATGTCAGTTTTATCAGAGTCTCCTTTGCGTTTGTTGCAGGATCAAGTGGAAGGCAGAGGGAGGTCCTCATCTCTGCTGAAGAGAATATCAGACAGTGCCAGAAGGTAACATAACATCTACCTGCTCTTCTTCAAACTTACAATCCTTGTTGATGATAAAAAATCAACATTCCTAATGTCATACAAGAACTAAAACTTTACTAGAGAAGTAGAAATCAGTTGGTGCTTAAGAACTTTATTTACATATTCTTTGTTTAAACCTAATGTAGCAAGTTTGAATTGAAATGTTTCTATCAACAATCACAATTATTTAATTCATTTCTTCAGGGCGATTTCTGGATCGTCCACACCGAGAAAAGGTTCCCTGGGTGGCTATGCAGTACTTACTTTCCTAAATCCCGCTGAAAGAGACTTGGAGCAAGACCGGGTCGTAGGCATGGTAAGTACAAATGTAGGACTCATCCGTCTTCATCCGTTTGATACAGACAAAAATCTCTCCTCAATGAAATGATTTTCTAACTAAAGGACAGTGATTTACGAATAGGATAGTCTAAAGATATCAAGACGTCAAAATTGAAGAACACTGGAATATATGCACAGGAAAGCCACCAGGGGGTCCAAAATCTAAACCATTAAATTTTGTTTGATAGATCAAGACCTAAACATATAGAGTGACCAAGTTTCAGGACAGTCCATCCATACATAGCTTCTTGAGTCATGCTGCTTACCACATATATCCAAATGCTACCTAAAACATAACCTTCTAGGCAAAGGTTATACCAAGGCTTTTTTCAAGAAACTTTTTTCAGAGTTAACTTCCCTCCTTCAGAAACATTGTCTCGTAGCAAGAAAAAAGACACACTACTTTTCAAAATGTGATGTTACCAGTAGTAAAGTAAAGATAAAACACCTGACAATGAAAGTTGCAAACATGCAGTTGCTCACCTGAGTAGAAGTTAAGCCTCCAAATGCAGAAAATTCCTTCTCCTGTACACAAAGAAGAAGACTCCAGATCTCAAGCCATGACAAGTGAAGCACTTAATAAACTAGAGAAGCCTTACCTGTTGATGACAGCTGTGGGTGTTGACAGACAGGTCCAGGCTGTCTTGAGCCTCTTACACATGACAGCACACGGTAACTAACCCTGGCGTTTAAAGGTAACAAAGACGTTTCTTGTCCAAGGCTACAACACACACCTGACCAAACAAACAACTTTATCCTGCCATCTCTTCAGAGTTCGTTCATTCAAAAGTTCAAGGGGGTTGGGTAAATTGTTGTCTGTATTTTACGACCGGAAACAGATGTGGGTTTCAAGGCTAATATTAATAAAAATGTGTTGAGATGAAAACTTGTTGAGTGATATCACCCCTATGTTTGAAATGAAATTGCGCGGGTTAGAATTCGACTGTCCTCAAATGCCCTTGATTTTTTTTTTGTAAGACAAAGCTTAAGTTGTGCTCGAAGTCAACACAAACTCACACAAAGTCAACATGAAGTTTACCTGGTTGTCATGAATGTTTAAGCAGGTGTTGACCAGGCCTACATGTAGGTGTACTTAGGAGTGACTTCTGAACCTTTCAGTAATTTTCTGCCAATGAACAAATAAATGATAGCCAAATATTACAGTAATAATCATGGCACAAGTAACCATGGATTGGGTACTCTAAAAACTGCACTTTACATGTATGTCTTGGCAAATATATATGTAGCACTTTATGCAAAAGACATTGTATTACATATATCTGAAAGTATGGCCGATAAACTTGTAATATATACAATGTGCATTCTGATTATCATACTCTTATTTTAGTACCATGATGTATTTCCTATTAATTGTAAGTAGAATAGAATAGATATTAGACTTGCTATATTACTATTTACCAATTTGCCATACATTGCAGGGCTCGAAATTCATTTTTGGGAATAGGTGCACTGGTGCACCCAACCTAAAAATTTAGGTGCACAGAAAAATTTTTGGGTGCACCATATAAAACAAAACCTCATTACAGATCTTACTGCTCCTCTTCTGAGCCTGAATCTGAAATGGGAGCTAACTCCAAAATCTTGTACTACTTTAAACAAGTACTACAACAAAGATTTTCTGACACTTAGATGCCAAGAATATCCAGTATTACTGTATACGTTTAATATGTAAAAAAATACCTACAAAAATATTTGGGTGCACCAATGCACCCACAGAAAAAAAATGGGTGCACAGCTCCAATTTTGGGTGCACTAAGGTGCACATGCACCCAGTATTTCGAGCCCTGCATTGTATCTATCACATTTACTGGTATTGCACAATAATTGTTGATTGAATCTGATTATTCGAGTGATTGTATTAACGTCTGTAGTGAGTGACCGTTGTGTTATTTCTGACCCACAGACGGTGGAACACCTGACGGACCACCTGTCCCGTTACCTGCCCAGGGAGACCAGGGTCAAGGTCTTCAACGTGGCCCGCGAGTTTGTCAGCTGCCAGGTGAGGCAACACTGAGACTGATCCAGTTCTACTCCAGTTTTAGTAGTAGTAATAGAATGGTACACACAAAGCTCCTGGCAGCCGTGATGGCTGAATTGCAAGGCTTATTCTAACATCACATCACGACAAACTATATACATTCATTAAATTTTTAAAATATGGTTAAACGCAAATATTAGTTTAAAAACGACTGGAGCATTAAGTTGCGTATTACACCTTCAATACATTTTAGCTGTGTGGAGAGCGAATAAAAAACTCGGTGTGGAATTACGGCAACTAGAATGAGTCTTCATGGTCTACAGTTCATTTAGTCATTTGACCAGGGCAGGAATCCCACTCGTCGTGTTTTGACAATACTCTCGACAATGTGATTGTAAACCAGCTTCTATAAAAATATTTGACTTTTGTCCATCCCTTTACTGACTCCACATTTGGCCTGTACTTTATATATACTGCCACAGGAAATTGAGTCATATATCATAACCCAACAAGCTACAATTTAGAGCCAGCTTTTAGACTAGAATAGTCATGTTATGTATGTAAATTGTACTTCATTCTTTGTTTGTCCTTTCCGGTCCTGTTACTTACAATTAGCCCTTGGGAGTCTGCCCTTGAGCAAGAATCTGAAATAAACTTTCATTGTATATTCTAATGTATGTATGTTTCTATATTTCCAACTAAAGCTAAAGTGAACTATTAGTTAGGCAAGGAAAACTTTACAGTTGAAGATTTCCTCTCTCTCTCTCTGCAGTTACAACAAGCCAAGCAGCTGCTGCAGTTCATCTGGATATCACTAGGGTTCCCTCATGATGGCTACCTCACATCCAATGTGTATGTTTCAAACCTTACAGTATTGTCAAAGTGAAAATAAACTAAGCTTCTTCCACATTCTTGTAATATGTACTGTGCAATATCTTTTGAATTATACACAGTCATAATGGTACCTGATGATACTTCTGTATTGATCTTGCAAAAAAGTCTCTTATCTGCATAATTTGTATGTCATAAATGTTCCTACCTACGTTTTTCTTGTTTTATATTATATTTTTGAAAACTTAATTCATAAAAAATTTTATGTCACAACAATGCACTGAACATAACACTTACTACATACACCAGACAATTTACAGCTGCACATTTTATACTGCTTCATCCTTCTCTTTCTCTCCTCCAGAGGTGAGCCGGGTGTCCAGGCTGAGAGTGAACTGTTCCATATGACTGAGAGGTTCTACATGGCAGCACAGGAGCTCTGCTTCCCTCTGCCTAATGGTAGGATGAATCTCTTGTTGGGAGACTTCTACCTGTTATATGTTAGGTCCTTACCTGTTGCTCCAAACAGCTCAGAGACACGACATTGGGAAAACTTGTAGACAAACATGTACATCACATGTATGGATTATCAGTGTTGGAGATACAATCAAAACTGCCCAATAAGAACTTAGTACACTCAGGAGACTGATAAAATCTGGTCTATGTGGACAGGTGGTCAATATACATTGTACTTGTAGACAGAATTCTTATTGCTTGTGTCAATGTAAAAAGTGGTCACGTTAACTACATTGTGTACAATGTACTTGGTCCTTATGTAGAGGTGGTCACTTTTACAGGTGTGACAAAAATGACAAGGTTCTTATAATCAAGAGGAACTTGCATTCCATTTACAGATATTCCATTGCATTCCATATGCTGTGATATCTAGTCTGTGTGTTCACAGTGTTTTTGTGTGAAACAGGAGCATTTCACAATCAGCACAGAGGGTATGAAGTTATCCCTCTCATGTTGTCCGGTTAGGTTTTAAGACATTCTTCACGACCCTGGGGTTCCGTTGCCTGGACAGCCACGTGTTCCTGCAGTATGTGGACAGGGGAGTGCTGCACTTCACTGATGACTTCAGGGACATGGTCATGGAAGGTATGGCTCACAGTATACATGGGACTGTAATAGAAGGTTCTTTATTCAACAACGAGTGGGTTTTTACAATTATAGAGAACTTTATTGCACGACAATTGCACAAGGTACAATGTATGGCATTATATGTGTATATTATGTGGCAACACTTTACATTTGGGACTAATTTTGTACATATGTATATTTTTGCAATTGTAACACCTAGCTGCAGTATGAATCAGAATTTGCTTAGTCTCTACTGGGTTTGAGCTTTTGGTCACTCTTAATTAAGCTTGAATGAGTAAATAAAAATTGTTCGGAAACTGAGTTTTAAGATTTGAATTACATTGTATGATAATTGAATATTTCCATCCCTGTATATGTCAGATCTTGGAGATGACAGAGACAGTAGTGAGATGAAGCTGAACATTGTCTCCAGGCTGCCAAAGGTACATGTGAGGACAGTTCCGGTAGTAATTTTTGTTGAGTTACTTCTTTAGCAGTCTCTCTTGAAACTAGTGATTGTGTCTAAAGGTGATGCCTTTTACACATGTAGTAACATTTTAAGACTTTCTCCATACATATTATGTATCTACATTTTTTCTCTCTGAATGTGCTGGTAATACACATGTATAATGTTAGGCTAAGGTGATTTGGGATGTGACTGTTACAAACTCTACATTCTATCACTTATACTTGTACTGCTTTTTAACTCTGTTCCCTATGTCTTTGTGCCCCTTGACCTCTCTCTCTATCCTCCGCATTGGGTAAGTATACCTGACACCTGTAGATGTGTACATGCGTGATATCATGTATTGTGCATTCTGAACACTTACCGGTATACATGTACATGTCTGTTTCTGTAGAGGGGACAAACAGACAGAAATCCTCCCCTCATTGTCTGCATTTGAGACTCATGTCATATAAATGTGGGTCTGGTAGCTGTCCTTGGTACTGAAGCAGCACTTTTTTGTTAAACTGACACAAATGTCCCCGTCTGGAAAAGGTATTTTTTTGGTGTGGTTTGTGCTTCTGTACTTCCACATATTTGTGGCCAGCATAAATTAGAACGGCATGGATGGATTGTGATGATATTTGGTATGTGGGTAGGTCTTGGGAAGACAAGGCGAAGGTTACGTGTGGGCCTCCTGGTAGCTGTCCTTGGTACTGAAGCAGAAGTCCTGTGTTTTTTGTTCAACAGACAAACAGACACAAAATGTCCCCTTCTGTTCCATGTACAGAGACAGGCACTGACGGGCTTGCAGCAGTGGAATCATCCAATCAGCACCAGGTTTCTATCCAAGCAGTACGTGTCTGGCCTCCTGTTAGAAGGTGAGTACTGATTGGCTGACGATACAAATGACATCAGTCTGTTGTTGACCTTTGCTGATAATATTCATACAGTGTTTTATACAGAGTACAATAGGAAAGGAGTAAAGACTGAAAATATTCCATTCAAAGAAAGTTCACTGAGGAATAAACCTAATACCAAATACAGAGAACATGTAGGTCTGTGACATTATCAAGTAGTTAGGCAGAAAGGCTAGATCACCTAAAAATGAGTCTCAGAGTTAGGGAATAATCAGTAGCTATTGTTGTCATGTACGAATTGTACAACTACATGTATGGGCAGGCCTAGATTTTTTTTACGAGATTTTTTTTTTTTTTATAATTTCCAATATTGAGAGGAAAAACATTTTACGAGATTGACCATTATCAAAACTAATATCATACATGTAGTTATAAGAAATGAGATGTTTGCTACTTGTTAGAAAATGAAGGAATCGTTTGTTGATATTTGTTTAGGAGAGGACCTTGGTTGGGCCAGCCAGCCCAGAAGGGTCAGCCTCACAGACTCCTACTCAACTTCCTCCAGCCAAGGTAAGGACAAGGACTCCTGGTCATACAATCTACATGATACATCTGTGTATGGTCAGGGCTTTGTAGTGAGATAAAGACATGATGGTGCTAAAGGAAGGATGGATGGATGGATGGAGGGATAGATGGATGGATGGATGGATGGATGGATATTAGACAGATGGAGGGATGAATGGATGGATGGATGGATGGATGGATGAATGGATGGATGGATGGATGGATGGATGGATGGAGGGAGGGATGGAGGGAGGGATGGGTGGATGGACGGACAGATGGATTGTTTATTTGTGCAAAACCTGTAAAACCTTAGCT